CACAAGAGCCACAGGGGACACCTTGTTACAAAGAACAGGACAGAGTCTTGCTTTGTGTGAGTGGGGAATCTGTCATCCCCCTTCCTCATCTTAGCACAGTAGAAGCTACAAAGGAACCGGGATTAGAGGGACCTGGGGTCAAATCTCCAAAACCATAAACATTCACACCAGAACACATATGATGTTCTCCAATCTCCCATATACCAGATAATTAACCCTGTGCAAAACACAAAGGATAAGACATGGGGGAGGGGGAGACATAGCAATACACACATGGAATTGCAGTGTGTGGGCAGATCAGGAGTTTTCAGACAACCTGGAATCCAGCTGGAGATATGGGATAACTAAGTTTTAATTGTATTAAGATATAATTTTAATTGTTTAAGTAGAAAGATCTATGTTAAAATGGAACGGGAGTTTCAAGGGGGGAAAAAGGAGATTAGAAAGCAGGCAGCTGGCACTGAGGAACTTGAAGGTCCTGCTTGGTTTTTAACACACAGACAGATAATGGGCATATAGACAGACAAAGACAGGGATGTGCGGGCCTATACAGGACGTGCTTGGGTGTGGCTAACACGAACTTTTCTTAGGAGAAGCAGCAGAAATAGGGTTGGCCCAGTAGATGGCTGGAAAGGAACAGAGTGATGATGCCTTCAAAGACACATGAGAACCCCTAATCCCCAGACCCCAGGAGTGGCATTCCTGCCCAGAAAGGGGCTTGACAGGTGTGATTTCGATGAAGGATGTTGCTATGGGACAGCTCTCCTGGATTAACATTGGGATGGGCCCAATGTTACCTCAAAGGGGAGAGGAACTACAAAGGTCAGAGAGAGGGGTGTCAAGACAGGAGATGACGAGGGAGGCAGACGCAGGAAGGGTGGTGACTGCCAGCTGCTGGGAGCTACAAAAGGCAGAAAACGGGCTCTCCTGTGGGAATGCAGCCCTGTCCACCCACTCAGCAAAAGATAATAAATGGGCCTTGTTTTAAGTTGCCGTTTTTGTTGTTATTTGTTACCATGGTTTGAGAACACTGTCCCAGGAGTCACTGTCTGTGACACAATAGACAATTCAAGCCCACATCAGAGAGAGCGGGAGAAAGGTCTAGAAATGCAGCGAAAGGCAAACTGACATACAGCAAAGGTAAGAAGATGAAGAACAGACTGCTGACACAATATAAAATAGCACCACTCTGAGTGACAGCGAAGAACCAAGGGGTGCAGATTGCAGCAATGTGGAAGAATGAATTGACAGTGCCTAGTGACGTTCTAGAAAATTCAGGTAAAAGAAAGGTCAGAAGGACCTTCAGCATTCAGAACCTTGAGCTGCTTAGTTCTAAGCCTCATGGTTGGTGGGGGGGGGGGATGGTGTGGTGTGGGTGTGGTGTGGGTGTTGGGGGGTATGGTGTGGTGTGTGTGTGTGTGTGTGTGTGTGTGTGTGTGTGTGTGTGTGTGGTGGAGGACTGTGTCTGAGTGACATCTTTAAAAATATAATTCACAGTAGGAATTTCAACCTCCAGGGAGCATTAAGATGCTCTAGGGAACTGACTTAAGATGCAGATCAACAGGCTCCATTACACAGGCTAGTAAGCAAACTCCAGGGCCCTAGTAAATGAGAAAGGACAGAAATAGAATAACTAAAAAGAAAAAAAAAAAGATGTGCACAATACATGAACTCAAAGAGCATCACTTTACGCAAGGGAAGATGTCTGCTTCCTAAGTCAACAACTTTCAGCGTGATGATGTCCAAAGCAGATGAGATGATGCAAGCCTTAAATAGTCCTATCTGCTTTGTAATACATGCCAGGGGATTAATATATATATATATATATATATATATATATATATATATATATATATATATATACACACACACACACACACACACACACACACACACACCCATATCCTTTGACGGAGAAGTGCTCTTTTTGGTAATATAACTTGCTGTGGAGGATTTGTTTTTAAAAATCCAAGAAAGAAAACAGTAATCACATTAGAGTACTAGAAGCTGAGTCAGGATGTGCAGGAGACAGTGGGACACTCCTCTTGTCCCCACTCAAACTGGCTGGAAGACTTAGCTGTACTTCTAGCACTTGGGAGGCCGAGGCAGGAGGATCACAGTAAGTTCAAAGCCAGTCTGGGCTATGGTAAAATTGAGAAGAAAATAATGAGTATAGAGGGGAAAAAAAATCAAAATTAAGGATCTATCTTGGTGGTAGAGCAGTCTCGGGCCTGCAAAGGTCCTGGGGTTGGGCTCCAGCAACTCCTTCATCACCACCCAAACAAGAAGAGCGAAGAAAAATATGTGACTTTTATGGAAAAATACATGACTTTTATGAAGACAGAAAAATTCTGAGAAAGGTTTAAAAATACATTTCCCAACACTAACTAGACAAGCTCAAATAGTTTCTTCCTCAACATTAGCAAGAACAATCAACAAGGAGGCATTTGTGCGTCTGCAGGACACGAAGAAGAGCTATGCATCGATCTCGGTGAAGGTATGAAGTGCTTAGGAACAGCCCACGTGCTATTTTGGAGTCAACTTAGGTGCACCTGCCAAAACTTCTCATCGAGAGAGCAGACTACAAAATGTAAGAAAAACCAAGACAGGCACGGATCAGATGTCAGAAACTGTGGTGATAAGCAGACGTTTCCAGGAAATTCAATGGCGGAAGATGATATAGGTACAGTTAAAGGCAGGCATTTAGTGCACTGTCATCTCCTGTCACAAAATTCACACATGGAAATCGAGGGTAGCAAAGGCACAGTTAAAGGATGAGGCTGCCTAGTGGGAAGCAGCTGCGGTCAAGTTTGTGCCAGGCTGACTCTTACCTGCGATGGTGCTTCTGAGCAGTTTTATAGTTACGATGACAGACTGACATGAACTTTTATATCCCACCAGTGTGTGCATTTGCCTTCTGGCCTTGCCTTTCCACCAATCCTAAGGCAGCAGTGGCTCTCCCCTCTCTATGGTACACAGTCAGACGGCATACTCCAACAGCCTGCCCCTCCCCACAAACCGTGATCTCCATGTCCCTATAAGAATGTCTCGAACTCTGTAACAGAGATTTGAGAAAAACTGGATAAAGTTAATAATGGAACAGCAGAAATTGAAAGAATAAGTCCTACAAAGTACAGGATTATTATTTTTTATTTATTTATTTTTTTGACAATGCTTGATTGCTGAGGAGAGGGGGGGAAATTGTCCTAGAGCAGGGTGTGAGCAAGCCAGGCTGCACACAAGCGGAGTCTGTGGGCTGCCCCATGGACAGGGCCAGCCTAATTGGCAGTCACCCTGCTGTGTCTGTTATGGAGTCGGTCCCCTGGTATCTGGAGAGCTCAGCTGGGCTGTGCTGCTCATGGAGTACTTCATGCTGACCTAGTAGGTTAGGAAGGGGCTTGCACCTGACAAGCTGCCCAGCCAGACTGGCAGGGAGAAGCTGGGTGCGGGTGGAGAGAGAATCTGGTCTCAACCTCCTGTAGGGACTTAGCTCACCAGGTACCTAGCAGAATTTGCTCCTAAAACCAAACAAAAAAGAATCCCATGAGGAAGAGGGGACTCAATTTTATGTTTGTTTCTCTCTGAGGTCCCCAAGGCTAGTGCTTTTTAAAACAAGTCTCCTGGCAACACCTGATGGAAATCTGTAGGCACTTGCATGGTTTCTCTGGGAGGAAACCTGAACTTGATGAAATTCTAATTAGAGAATTAAATTCATTTAATTAAATGGTTTGCCATCCTAAGAGAAAAGCTTAGGGCGTCTTTTCAAAGAAGCGAGGGAGTGGGATGGTGGTGTACACCAAGCCCAGCACTCAGAAGGAGGGGCAGAGGGGTAGCTATGAGTTCTAAGCCAGCCAGAATTACACAGTGAGACTGTCTAAAATTAAACAAACACTCAGACAACAGGGAAACAGGTTCACTAATCTCTCAGTTTAGACTTAATTCTCTACTCTCTGATTAAAGTGGAAGAAACTTTTTACAAAGTTCTAAAAGCCTTTTAATCCAGAATCAACTCATTATGACATTTTTATGCAGTGATGTGTCCCAGAAAAATTATGTAGACATTAAAAAGCATAAAACTAAAGGACTCTCTAACTTAACCCATTTCTAGCTTCTTGGCCAACTATCTAATCATGGCATGCATCCTATGCATGCATGTGTTTCATATGTGTGTATATACATTCATATATATATACATATATATATATGATACACTCCTAGACACAGATATGTGAAAGAAAAATGATAAATTTGAACTGATTCATCATTTGTGATTTTCTTCCAGGAAATCTCACTAGGTATTTCAAGCTATGATGAAAAATTTAGCACCCAAATAATTTATAACCCCCCCAAAAATTAAGCTTGGTTTCGAGATTTTTTTTAAAGTATTCATTTTCAATTCATTAGTGACCATTTCTTCCTGAAAGTCAGTTACTTCTTTTGCATTTCTGTTCCTTTGATCCGTGACTTTGAAATGGACCCCAGAGCTACAGTATCCATCATTCTGGTATAGTCGCTCTCCACTACTCACAGGACAGCTGTGGATGGGGAGCCTCTTTTCCATGTACCCCATATGAACACACATGTATACATACACAAGCTTGTCTAGGTACACAACATTTAAGTTGAGTTTAATAAATTTCTTCCTGTATAGTGATTTCTTGTGTTTGTTTTCTTTTTGTAAAGAGCATCAAATGCATTTCTTGGACAGAAGAGGGTGTTGATCTTACTCATTATAAACTTTTAATATTTGATAAGATGTACTGCAACAGCTTACTGCCTCCGATATATACATGCAAGCAATTGTAACAGGAAACCCACTTATTTAAAAATAAAAACCAAATACACTGATTGAACAATCTATTCCAAAAAGAAATCAATGCCGTTATAAAGAAACTACGTGCACAGCAGACAGCAATATTCTGAAGAACACAGGATGGAGTCTTTACATTATACCATGGGCCACATAGAGAAAAGGAGAAAAACATAAAACCAAAGATTACCTTTTTGTGCAAGGCATGGAACTCGCTGTACCTTTTCTCAACAAAGTGTTTTCTTCCATTCATTAGCACCTCTATTTTAAACACCTAAGGAAAAAATTAAAGAGATTAATTCCGCTAGTTCAAAACCCTCAGTTGTCGATGTGGTAAGTTTGTGATCGTGATATATTTCATCCCTTTAATTACAGAAGCCGATTCTCCCCAAACCCAGAAGGCTCAGGAGACCCTGACCCAACAGCACTGATTAATGAGCCCTCGGACCAAACGCTCACTCGCTAACTGCAGCCTTCTCCAAGAACGCGTCTACGGACGGGAAACTTCCATGCACTGAAATGCTAATTCACTTTTTAATGCAGAGAATATCCTTCCCTTGAAATGACTTCATCAAATGACGATGACGGCACAGAGCTGATCGTGTGCTGCAAAAGCGAGACCCCTGAGGACTCGGCCACACGGCACCCTGACTGGGTACTCTGAGGAAGGCAGTCTGTCATCTGAGACAATCATGCAAACAGCAGTGAATTTTAGGTTAATTTCTTCCTAACCTGCATATTCATCTTGAGTCTCAGCTGGGCTTATCCTGCTGTTTGCAGAACAGGGCAAAAGCAGGGAGGGCTCATTTTCCCTGCGTGACGTGAGTGACAGCCTGTGTTGCCACTTCCAGGAGGTTGAAAGGCCAGATGCAGAGGTGCTCCTGGCGCACTAATTAGTAGGCACTAACATGACATTTTCTGGATTCTTGGGTCAGTGGGTCAAGACTGGGAACAGGGTTGAGAAGTATGGCGAGATGCTCATGAAAATACGAGGCTCGGCTCCGGGAGGGAGGGGTGCCTGGCAGGAAATAAAGAGCTATCGCTATTCCAGCCTCTGTCTCACCCCTGTTTCGCTAAGTGAGAGATGAGAGAATATTGGCAAGCTTGAGTTCTGATTTTAATCAACCCTTTGGAAAAGAACAAAGGACATCTACATCTCAGAGTAAAAGAAAAAACAACTTTCATCCAAAATATACTATGTATTCATATTTAACACGGGACATAAAAGGTTCTATAAATATGAAAATAGAGCCCGATGGCCCTGTATTTCTGCTTTGTGTGTAACATAACTATTGTATTTACTGTCAAACATAAACACTACCTGTACTTTTTTTTTTTTTTTGGTTTTTCGAGACAGGGTTTCTCTGTGTAGCTTTGCGCCTTTCCTGGAACTCACTTGGTAGCCCAGGCTGGCCTCGAACTCACAGAGATCTGCCTGGCTCTGCCTCCCAAGTGCTGGGATTAAAGGCGTGTGCCACCACTGCCCGGCTACCTGTACTTTTGTGTGTCTTTGAAGTTATATTCTTCCACTACAAGGCTGCTCAGTTCAAGAAACCTGTTTTTAAAAAAAAATTACTGGAAATTTTTTTTTATCAATTTAACTAATTTCATATTAACATTTCATTTCTTCCTCAATACTTTTCTTTAGTGATTTAAGGAAAACATTTTCTTCTAAAATATACATATGCTTCAAACTCTTATATATATATGTATGTGTGTGTGTGTGTGTGTATATATATATATATATATATATATATATATATATATCCAATGTTTCTTAGAAAAAATATTCTGTTTACTAAATTACCAAAGAAAATAATCCTTCTTGCAAGATCCAGTCTGAAAGAGAACTAGAAAGATATTTCCAGAAACAGATACAAGAGGCAGGCAGCTTCAATAGGGGGTGGGAAGGGCTTCTGAGTGTCAAGTCCCTGATTTGATCAAAACAATGTGACAACAATAAGTAGTTTCCATCTGCTGAGCTGATAAAACTGCTCCAGGTCTGGTTACTTGGGGCTGCATCACAATACCCCTTTTAACTGGCTGAAGTAAGGTTCAATCGACTGGGTCTCCCTCAGACAGTCCCACTTGAAGGCCATGGGTAAGACACTAGCTGCCTCAGGGAACATCATCCCATCTCCTGCCCAAGATGGCTGTCTCCAAGTTCCAGTTACTCTTCACAAACACCAAGTTCACAATGGAGGCAGAGTGGAGAAGACACCAATACAAGGGGAGTTCATAACAAGTGTTAACTCGATTACATTGCCACTGAAAATACATAACTTGCCCTGCGCTGCTACGATTTTCTTCCCTTCTGGGTTCTGGGCAAACATCTTAGAAAGGAAGCAGTTTACCAGGATGGAGTCAATTCAGTACATTTTCTTATTATCTCTGCTACAGAGTAAACCCTTCGCTCACTTTGCTGTCCTGGAAAAGTTCTGGTGTAGAAACCACTCCAGGGTGGCAGTGACATCTCAGGACTCATGAAACTGCCTGGAGGGCACCAGTACAGTGCCTGACATTCAGCTGTTAACTTAGGTGACAGATTCACAAAGGGTCTACAGTGGTCCTGGGGGTTGTTCTGGGCTCTAGGATTCAGTACTGGAAAGACACAGGCCTGGCCTCCAAGGAGCTGAGATCCTGAGCAATGAGTGAAGTGGAAGACGCATCTGTGCACAAGCGACATGGTGACCAGCCAGACGTACTCGGGGTCCACAGAGCAGCAAGTCAGACACGGAGCTTGACAAGGGTGTTAGTGTGCAGGGAAGTCTCCCTGAGGGCAGAGGTGGGGAAAACGGTATCTGTGAGTTAATATTTTTAAGAACTGTCAAAATATGGCAGCCCACAGCAAGATAAAATTCTGTTTCGGACCCAACTGAAAAGCAGCAGGAAACACAACTTACAAGGAGAAGAGAAAATAATGATAGACACTGATTCAGAAAAGATACACGACTAGTGGACAAAAGCATTCACTGGCGTTATTGTTATGAAGGGATTTCTTACTTTCCAGATCCAGGATGAAAGGCTAACTGTTGAATGCAGATGGGGAAGCCATAACAGAAAACCCAAACTACGGGTGTTGTAGAATATTATTTTAACTACGCAAAGGTGTGCTACATTTGCTTATGCTGCAGAATGTTACTTTAACTGTGTAAAGGTGTGCTTCATGTGTTTGTACTGCATTTGTTTAAAGATGCAAGGATGTGTGTTTAATTATGTAAAGATGTGTTGCATCTGTTTCACCTTGCCTTCCTAAGGCACCTGACTGGTCTAATAAAGAGCCCAACAGCTAATAGCTAGGTACATAGGCAGAGAAAGGAAAGGCAGGGCTGCCAGGCAGAGAGAATAAATAGGTGGAGAAATCCAAGCTCAAGAAAAAGAGGAGGAGAGAATGGGAACAGAATAAGGGAGATGCCTGGGGCAAGAAGCCAGGCAGATGCCAGACAGACAGACAGAGAAGCAGTGAAAGTAAGATCTACAGAAGAAAGATAATAAGCCCTGAGGCAAAAGGTAGATAAAGAGAAACAGATTAGTTTATGTTAAAAGAGCTAGTCAGAAATGTGCCTAAGCTAGGCTGAGCATTCAAAACGAATAATAAGTCTCTGTGTCATGATTTGGGAGCTGGGTTGGTGGCCCAAAAAAGAAAGCCTGATATATACAGGTATGGGGCTGTTTGATCAAATCATTAACAAATGTAATGAAAAATACACTGGATATAATGAATGACAGACTAGTCATTGAAAAAGAAAAGGTTAGCCAGACAGTGGTGGCACAGGACTCGGGAGACAGAGGCAGACAGAGCTCTGAGTTTGAAGCCAGCCTTGTCCACAGAGTGAGTTCTACACAGAGAAACCCTGTGTAGAACCTGTTTTGTTTGAAAAAAAAAAAACCCAAAAAACAAAAACAACCCAAAAATAAAGAGAGAAGAAAAAAGAGGAAGACAAGGAAGAAGGAGGAGGCTAGTGAGCTTAGTGTTGAGAATCTAGCAATAGAAACTATCCACCATGAAACAGACATGAGAGGGGGGAAAAAAAAAACCTAAAAAAAAAACCCTAAAAAACAAAAACAAAAAAACAGTATCAGGGAACTATGTGTGTGATAACTAAATAGAAAATGTACCTATAAACTGAAGTCCCTAGAGATTTGGAAAGTTAGAGAGTAAGGCAAATATATTATATTCAAAGAAATCATGGCTGTTCCCTACTCCAATTTAATGGAACATATAAACACACAAATCCAATCCCAGCACTAGGGAGGCAAAGGCAGATCTCTGTGAGTTCAAGGCCAGCCTGGTCTACAGAATGAGTTCTAGGACAGCCAGGGCTGTTACATAGAGAAACCCTGTCTCGAAAAACCAAAAAAAGAAAAAAAAAGTATTAGACTCACATAGGAGACTTGTCTAAATCTTTACCAATCCTAGGAGGCACCTTAACCACCCTCTAAAATCTATATACATACTAACTCAACATGCACACAGAAATTGCTCAAGGCATTAAAAAAATTACAACAATGTATATAATGCATCTCAAATATTTTTATTTATTGGTATATTTTGACATCAGTCATTTTTCTGGTGGCTACAAAGTACTCCTGTTTTCATGTAATTATGCTATATTCCTGTACATGATAGAGCTGCACCAACATTATTTAACTGGGGTTTTAAGTTGAACATTGGATTATTTGTTGTCTTGTTATATATTTATTCATAGAGAGTGTCCTTGTACCCAGGCATGCCTGTACAAACATAAATGAACCCATATGAGAAACTACCAAAACTTAACCAGACTTCCCCTCAAGTTTCCTAAGGGAACCAGGACAAGGAACATCTTGTCCGTCCCAATCAATGCTGGCCAATAGTCACTTTGCCTATCTAATGAGTAAAACGAGAATTACTTTGGTATATTTTGATAAAGCATATTTTCTTATGTAAACCATACAGAGTAGTATATGGTTTCTATTTTAACTGTCTCACATAAAGCTGCACAAAAGCCCAACCTACTAGCTCAACTCTCTACTTCATCTTTCCTCAGAGATTTCTAGAAATTCTGCTACGGAGGACAAGGAAAGCTGCATGAAATTCAATAAAAATACTAAATTTTCTACTAAGAATACAAATTATTTTACTCATTGATCAAATTTTAGCTACAGTTCTAGAAACATTAGTGACTCAATGGTCTCCAAATTGAAAAATAAATGTATTTCCTTCAAGGGAAATTTCCGTTCCTAAGTGTAGCCTTCATAACATGGCAGAGCCGTGTGTGTGTGTGTGTGTGT